GGGGGGGGAGGGCGGGGAGAAGACCCGGATACCTAAGTATTTCCACCAAAAGAGTTATATAAAGATGTTGCGCCGGTTACGTAACCGTTTCGACACCGCGCGGTGTTGTCGGAAGCCAAGCAGAAGGCAGATAAACGGCAAACCGTTGAGGTTACGCGGAGCCGGGGCAGGTGGAGCCACGTGCGTGGCCCTGCCGAGGGGAGACGGGCCCGGGTCCCCGAAGAGGCGAACAGCCCCTTCAGCGAGCACGCAGGCTGCTCTTGGGGTCGGGAGCAGAGAGCCTTCCTCTACCAGCCTGCTCCGTCAGGGTCGGGAGACGGGTTTGTGTCTGTGAGGTGCAAGACCCAGGCGCGAAAGTGAGTTTGTGTTTGCCCTCGGTTTGAAAAGTAAGCTGGAGGCAGGTGAAAGGAAACACACTCAAAAGGCCACAGAAATCTTCTTTTTCAAAACCAAGAGCTGCGGCTGTTCAAAGAGCGGTGCTTTAGGTCGTTTAGGTGTGTTTAAGGGGCATCGTGTCAGTCACTCTGAGGCACAGCCAGCTGTAAACTGATAAACAGTTACCGTGGTTTGACCAACAGTCAAGACCGAAGACTGCAACAGTGTCAAAGCTAGCCAGCTATTCCATCATCCCTCCAAGAGCCTTCCGTCCCAAGGCTTTTGGATTATGCAGAGGGGAGACAACTTGAGTGAAAGACGCTGCTCACACACAAAGGTCTGCCAGTAACACATCTACTCTGCTGCTCGTCTGCCCATTTATCCATAATCTGACCAGTGTCACAAAGTCAAGTTCTTCCCATGATTTTCAGAGCACCCCATAAAATACAAGTCATTTTTAAACTAAGGTTAGAAGTATTTGTCAGACAGCTCATGTTTATAACCCATTACCAGAGACTGACCTTCAGGAAACAGAGCCGTTCTTTTTCCTCTGCTCACAGTTCTTGGAGGTGTTTCCCAAGGAAGCAGGCTTGTCACAATGTGTGTGTGTAAATGGAATGAAGGTTTCTTACCTCTCCCTTCTACCAAGGCTCTTGAACCTGCTAACTAGAGGGATCAAATCCTTGCGAGGCTTTGCATTTGATGAAATTAAGATGAGCAGGCAGATGAGGGATCCTTGAATCCCTCGAGCAAAAAAGCTCAAGCTTTGACCACTTTTAGGGCTCAGCAAATACAAATGGGACCTCAAGAACTGCATGTTTCAGCACTTCTGCTTGTTTAATTAGAATTCAAGTTCTCTCTTATGCTTGAAGCAGATGCAGCAACCCGATCTTAAATGAGTTAAATGAAACAGCACTCTTCCATTTAACTCAGGGCTTCCTGTCTTGTAAAGGTTTAGGAATTAATCATTTTAAACCTTTAAACCTTTCAGGATTAGTTTGCAGAAGGAAAAAAACCCACCACCAATTGAGGGGCCTAAGTAGGAGCAGTGAAAATGGCTGGTTTATTGCTTCACATAGGAAGCTTACCTTTAGTATTACCTTTAGTATTCAAATCTATGTAAATCTAAACCTAGAAAGATAACTCTGGAGAGTTCCACAGCTCAGTCTCGTGACTCTACGTGCAAGTCTACAGAAAGAACTTGCTAAAATCAACACATTTACCACGAATTATGAAGTTTTATAACTAGCATCTGCAGGATCCATCGACTGTGAGAAGCATGGGGGGGAGGGGGGGAAGCCAAGAAAGCTAAGAGTTAGTTAAGCCCTGCATAGCAAATACTAAGAACTGAAAACTTGGTAATTTACCTAAATGTCAAGTTTTAATGCTGCTGCTTCTCTGGGCATAGACTAAGATTTCAGCCAAAGTTAAATCCTTTAAGGAAAATGTATTTTTAACAACTTGCGTGCTGCACATCCATACATTCACCAACCTCCAATGAAACTAGGATGCCCAAGTTTCAGCTTCCTGATGTTTACAACTGGCATAATCTTCCTGAAGTATCACACAGTCCTCACACACAGCACTGTGATTATATTCTCTGCCCTCCTTCATGAAAATCATCACAGGGCCACCCAAGGCTCTTGGCATGCATATGGAAACAAACAACGCTGAAAATTTGTAAATCAGCTTTTATTCGACGATGACCATCGTTTAGGCATCGGCAATAGTAACTTCAACTTCTACACCTGGTTCAATGCTGATGGAAGTGATCTGCTTCACGATCTCCGAAGGGCTGTGTAAGTCGATGAGCCGCTTATGGATACGCATTTGGAAACGATCCCACGTCTTGGAACCTTCACCACAAGGTGTCTTCCTGGTAGTGATTCGCAGAGTCTGAAGAAAAATCGTAAATGCAGGGTATTTAGTTGATGCATACAGAAGGCTAATCTACAACCAAGTCACTCCGCCTAAAAATACTGTATGGTATCTGCGTCATCGGAAAGTTACTTCTGAAGTTGTATTCTACTGATGTTTCTCTACATTCCATTTAATTAAAAAAAAAATCACTATTAAAATAAACTGAGGATAAAAAAGCCTCTGCCATGTTCAACATGTTGTGCCCCCGACAGCTGTCCCAGGCGTCAACGCCACTTGTGAAGTCATGACCTGTTTCCATGGGATCACCCTCCATTTGGTAGTACTGCTTTTCTCCTACACTTTTTGAAGATGTTTTACTGCAGGTTTGCAGAAAAAATCCCGAACTTCTAGACGGGGAAACAGTATTAAGTACCTTGGTGGGCATACGAACGGGTCCTTTCACCTTTAGGTTTTTTTCCTTAGCACCTCTGATCAAGTCAGCACAGACTGAAAGAAAACACAGAAGAGCTCAGGCTTGTGAGTAGTTTTTTTGTTTCTTAAGTGTAGATTTCAAACAAGAAGTTGGCTCAGAATAGCGTATGAAACCATCATTGCTATTCATTTTACGGGTTATCCTCATAGCCAACCACATACAAAACCATGTTACAACAGTAGGTAAAACCATTACTTCAAACTTAAGCTATATTTGTTCTTGGCCTGAAGATCTTGCATCAAGCAGTGATTCAACAACATTTACATTATGTGATTAGAACACTGGCAAAGCCAGTTCCTAAACGAGATTAGCATTCTTTAAGAATTATTTAGACTTCTACACTAAACTTTTCATAACAAGAATGACAAAATACAAGTCAAGAAACTGGTGCCTTCTTGTTCTTATACATTCAAGTAGTGGCAACTAAAACCCCCACAAAAGCTAAAGGGAAGAAGCTGCACTCAATCTTAAATTAGTCAATTGAAGTTTTTAGCATAATGAATAAACCCCAAACAGCAGCTTCCATTAAAAATTAGAATCTACCTGTCAGTGTATGAAGTGCTTTGGGTTGACTATGTTAACCAAGGCACAGGCAAATGGCAACATCTGTAATTGCAACTGGTTTCAATATACTGTATTTTACAACACATTGCATCATATATATCACAGAATCATAAAATGGTTTGGGTTGGAAGGGACCTTAAAGACCATCTAGTTCCAACCCCCTGCTGTGGGCAGGGACACCTTCCACTAGACCAGGTTGCTCAAAGCCTCGTCCAGCCTGGCCTTGAACACTTCCAGGGATGGGGCATCCACAGCTTCTCTGGGCAACCGATCCCATCATTCATTAACAAGCTACCCCAATCAAAAAAAATTGTCACTCACCCTTCTCAAGTGATTTTACATTGCGACTTGTCAGAGTAATTCTAATGCGATGAATCGCTACCTCTTGTTCCACAGGTGCTTTGCCAGTATCTTTAAACGCCTAAAATGTTGAAGTTCCACGTATCAGACGCTAGTCAACGCCAACGAAGGCTATCTGCACCCTCTTAAAAACAGAATCCTAGAGTGGTAAGGACACTTCAGCTACAGGACTATTTTCTTCTGGGCAACATATCCAAAGTGTACGGTGGTATGGAAGAAATGGTGGGAACGGAAAGGAAGGGCAAAGTCCCGATTGCTTTGAGGCAGATGATGGGAAGCTGCAAGAACATCCCTCCCTGGTTTGCCTATATACAGCAGGCTGTCCGGTCCCTAATCTTCCCAGTCTTCAAAAATAAGCACGTTTTAAGTTTTATTTATCTTACAGCTTGACCCCCTGTAGATCAAGCGAGGGAGATACCGACAGAACAGAAATGGGGAGAACAAAAAGGGGCATCTGGCCAGAAAGACTAGCTCAGCCACTCGGGAGACAGATTTGAAGACCTTATATAGGCTTGCAAATAACCGGGCGTTAACACAGGCCAAGTGGAATAATGAAATAAAAGTGAAAATACGACGGGGAAAGGTCTTAAAAACGTGGTCGAATCACGGCATTTCTCTAACGAGATCCTACTACCTGCCGTACTAACTGGCGCACACCCCTGTGACAGAGGCCGGCTTTAAGGGCCGAGG